GCAAAAAGCTAATGGAAGAATTAGATTGCTTTGACGATTGAAGAATCGGGCTACAGTGTTCATTCTATCTGATGCTCCTACACAGTCGCTTCCCCTCCCTTTTGTTTTGCAGTGGAGCGGGATTCATAGCTGTAAGTGAAAATGAAACTTAAGAGTTACTCTGTAAAAAGAAGTCCATCTCAGTTATATGGAACTGTTTGAGATTGTTCAAAACCAAATGAGAGCAAGAAATTAACATTTGCTTGGTTTGCACAGTTAACGTTTGCACTTTGGATGGCGACACTACAAACCCTTTTAACAAGCCGGAGAGACGATATCCTAAGAAGTCTTTAGAGCGGAGCTCAGGCAAACTTCAGTCCCTCTGAATAAAACCCAAGATTTCAGTCAAACCGACTATGACCACGTGTCACAGAATAAACATATTCTGGATTATTTTACAAGTCAGTTGTCGAAATTCTGCAGGGCTAAAATAGTACGGACAGTCAAGAACACGCATCACTGTGTGAAAATGCACCTTAATGAACACGACAATAGAATTCAAGAAACAAAAGATGTGGTGCAGAAAACGCGTAAAATTGTGCATAAAAATTGATCACGGGAGACCTCCAAACCGCCCTCATTTCACTGGCCGATGATGCTGTTGATTCACTCTCTGTGGATGGCAGCTGATGTTTATAAAGTGTTTACTTTTAAACTCAATGATGATTACATGAGATAAGATAAGTAGCTAGCCAGCTATCTTATCTGCTCACTGAGGTGAGACGATTGAATGAAACTCATCACACACACTTGTTCACAAACATAGAAGACAACCACTCGAGGATAACAGAGGTTATCCTCAACAGATGGGGAAATTTAAGTTTAAGTTGTTCTTCGATTAACATTCATCTCATTGACTGGTTGACTGAAATGATCTCATTATTCTGTGTCCAATCATAGCCTCATTATTTAGTATGTGGTATCCGTCAGAGTTTAAATTCTCATTAAAGTATCATCGATGGAGTTATAATACAGACCCACAGTGTTTAGGTATTCAAGGCACAATGTCTTTTCATTGTAAGAATGAAATTGAAATGACTGTGAAGATCATCTTCAGTACAGTATTGTTTAGTGGCTCCAGGCTTCAATGGCTTTGACACATACTGCATACTTATTTCTAACCTTTCACTGCTTCTCAGCCAAACTAGATTCAAGGTAGTGGTGAAGAAAGTATACACAATATTTACTTAATTCCAAAATTAAGTAAATATTTCTGCTCCAAAGAAATGTTAATGATGAGCTCAAATCCTGTCTTCAAAATGTCACTTTTTTATGTATCTATTATCATTTCGATAGAAGGAAGTAAATCTGCTGTATTACTTGCTTACAGCTCTACACTTATTTGACAATGTTGTAATATTTACAAAATACTTTTTAGTGTCAGGTTTGTACTGTAGGACATTCATTTCTTTGAGAATTATACCACTTTGATTGGTAGAAAATCATAGTTGAAGTATTCTCCTGTTTCAAGGCTCCAAACTACAAGATGCACTTTTGACACTAGCTGACAAAACATCAGATCCATCAGTATAAAGGTTTTGCAGACTGAACTCAAAAGGATTTCTCAATAACATCAGATATATTTTAATCTGGAGAGAAACTAGCAACAATAGCAAATCCATTACAAATCTACATAAATATTTAGGTCCATCAATCAATCAATCATTATTTGTATAGCACCAATTCAGTGGGGGGGATTTCTCCTTTGTATTCCTCGCCTTCCTGTTCTTCACACTTCTTTGCAGCTGAGGTGGAGGTCTGAGCAGGCCATGCATGAATGCGGATAGCTGTGGTTGTGGGGACGACACAGTCTGATGGTGGTGGTTGGGCGTCAGGGACGTCAGCTCACTGAAGGTTGGGGGGAGTAGGTTGGATGACGTGTGCCAGTCTGATATTTATACATTTGTACTTTGTACTTGGTACTTTTTTTTTATACATTTGTACTTTCTGTATATACTGTGATGAATTACACAGAATGACAGAACGAGAGTGCGTTAGAGATGAAACACATCCTGGAGCACTTTGTGGAGACTGGAGATGAGAGCAGTCTGGTGGAGCTGGAAAACCTTTAGAAGTAAATAATCTCCTTTATTACACGCAGCCCTGCCTCATGCTTGCTTCAGGTCTAAGGCTCTTTAATGAAAGACGATAGATATATAGGTGCAGAGACACACACACACACACACACACACACACACACACACACACACACACACACACACACACACACACACACACACACACACACACACACACTCAAGGTAACATGAGCAATGCTGCATTGCAATTGCAGCAGCCATGATAAGGTGATGTAACCAGACCGTTTCCTCCATATGAGCCGAAAGATCATTTGCTTTGGATCAATATATAATATGTTGTGTTAATGTATTTAAATGTTAGTTCCTCCAACTATATTAATGATTTAATATCCATGTGTATTCTCTGTTTTGTTCCTTTAGTCCTTTCCTATTCTGTTTTTGGCATTTAAATTTGTTATACACCAGTTCTCCATCTTCCATCCCCCTTTCTTATCTTCCTTCCTTCTATCTTCTTTCCCTCGCCCTATATGCAGAGGGAAACATCACTCGCATGGCAACTAGGCTACTTCTTCTCACATCACCTGTTTCCTCTCAGTCCTCAGCCCTCTTTATTGCACCCTCTCTGTCTCTCGAGACCTATCCTGAATCGTTAATGATGTGCATCCGTTTACTTAGTGTCACTGAACTCATCCATTTTGGCTCTCACATTAGATTTAGGACAAATCCCTTACAGGAAAATGTACTTTGTATTACCGGTAAATGATTTGTGCTTTGGAAGACTAAATATTATTTCTGCTTCACTAGATTTATTGCATTTAAACATAAGTTAGTCGGAATTGAATAGTTACACACACAATGTTTGCTCAGCTATTCTCCGTTGGAGGAGAATGTAATAGTTCTTTTCAACTAGATATTTTATCACAGGTATAAAATACACAATATAGTAAGGTTAATGTAATGTTACACTTAAATAGCAAGACTATTAACCTGGTTAATGGAAAAGCTACATTAAGAAAGTAAGTGTCAAATTACTACATTGTATTTATTGCTATATTTTCAGATATGTTTTACACAATGTTAATATTTTCCAGTTGCCTCAAGTTGTTTAAAGTATGTAGTAAAATTAAGAAATCATAGTATGCATTGTTGTGTATGCGATAAATGCCTGTATGTAGATTTACCAGATTTTTTAAGTATGGAATCAAACTTCCGCAACTAAACTGCGTTGCGGCTCTCAGACAAACAAAAGTAACTGCACTGTAATATGTCTTGTCAAATAATATTATAATGACAACGTAGCTGTATTAGTAATGAATGCATGTATATTGTTGTTAAACTTTATGGACCGACTGTTGCTCCAACGTAGCTCAGACCGGAAATACGTCAAGTGACCTGTAGTTTAGTATTTTGCTAAAGACATTCTAACAGTCGGGTTTAGAGGCAGTATGCAGTAAACTGTTTTAATATAGACAGTATGTTAATATGTGCTGGCTCTGCCAACAATGGTTGCCACTAGCAACAGAATGTTCAACAGAAGCAATTGCAAAGAGCAATTGAGAAAAATTTAGTCTTTATTGAGATGAATGATGTAAAACTGAAACATTTCACCTCTGACAACTGGAAAAGTACTTTGGTGTACATTGACAAAATATACACTCACTGGATATTTTAGCTACGATGGCTAGATGTGTAAATGTAATTATATGTTGGGACTGGGGGTGTATGGTTAGAAATATGTTTTTGTGTTTGTAAAAGGGGTAGACCTAACTGTAATCATTTGGCAACTCCTCCTGTGACATTTAGCCTTTTACAACACAAGTAGTTAACATTGAGAGACATAGTGTACATCTTTTTTTTAATTACTTTTTATTGTCATCATGTCTTAACGTACAGTACACATATTTTATATTCAACATAAAGATGACAATATTTTACATTTTATAGGTGGTGTGGTGTCAAAAAGGTTGTGTCCCCCAGTGATGTGAAAATTCTAAAAAAAATAACACACAGTTGTTTAAAGTAGCTTGAAGTAAAACTGGGGTAGCTTGGATCTGTATGACATAAATTCATAGATGTTTCCCTCCATCGAGGTTTTCTTCCCTTTCTCTACGATATTTAACATCTTAAGGAAGGGCGAACAAACAAGTTAGTTAGAGAGACATAGTGTAAATCTAAGCTGAACATGAATATCTTTGTAATGGAAGGATTTATAGTTGAACTGTCTCATCATCTTAATGTGACTTGTTTGTTTATGCATTTCATGATTCTAGTTTCATCAACTGTGTCTGCAGTCAGAAATATCTCCTTGTGTTAAACAGTCCTCCGGCTTGTCAGATTGATTTTGTAACATGTCTACTATATAACAGTGTGTGTATAATCTCCATTGAGGTTTTGTGTTTTAGGGAGCAGTGTGTCTGTATGCACGTACACAGGTGTATGAACATCACACACCCTGCGGCATAATTGTCAACTCCAAATCTTCTGCAGGTGACGTTGAGGCAAACACTGGAGGGCATCGTCATTTCCATTTCAAAAAGCTTCTTCCTGAAATACATGTGCACATAAAAGCATGTGTGTATATGGATGCTAGTTCTGCAGTCTAAATCAGTGTTATAAATAAAGCCTCTCTGTAGTGTGGAATCCAGCTGTGTACATTATCTATAAGGTCATGATTCAAACAGCATGAGTGACAGAGAGAGTGGCTCACTAAAAACATCTTCAAATATGCATGTTGTTTACGAAATGTTTTATTGATGAATGACTGAGTTTTGTATTTCGTGTAGACTACTTGTGTGTCACTGGTGATGACAGAGAGTAAATAAGTAAACAGGATGAAATGATAATGTCAGGGATCCCTAAAATTCTCTCTTAGGAAGGTTTGTCTGTGTGATCTCATTAATCTTAATCTCCTGCTTTCTCCAGATTTTGATCCTAACCTTGGTATGATGCCTGGAATTACCCCCCTGAACCCCCTGATGCCCGGCCTCGGTATGGGGCCAGCTCCCCTCTCTCAGGATTTCCCACTTGTGAAGGAGATCATCCACTGCAAGACCTGCACACTGTTCCCCGCCAACCCCAGTGAGTTATAACATCATGCTAATCCTGCAATAGTCTCTATGAATAGAAATTTCAATCCACAATAAGCAGTTGAGGGACAACAATTCTGGTTTCAGAAGCATTTGAATGTTCTCCAATATCACTGACCAATCACTTTTGAACGGGCTTTGGTTTTATACTGAGCAAAAATTGTGAAACATATCCACGTACTGTACATAGATAATTATCATCTTCTTGCAGCTCAAATTGCTATTTGAACTTGTAAAAATGACCAATGTACATTAAAGATGTTGGGAAGTATTTGTGGGCTTTGCCTTCATTAGAGGGTCTAATGTGATGCTCTTAACACTGACACTCAGAAGGACTTCTTGTCTTTATGAAAGGCAAGAAAAAGGGGACAATTCAATGATGTCATGGCAGATAACATGTTAACCTTTATTTGTTCAGATTTTGTATCCCTTTAAACCTCGAGATAGCGCTTTTTATACTATATCAGAGATCATTGTATTTTATTTATTGCAATATGGGAACTTTTGTTCAAAAACACCAAAGCCAATGGTTTATCATCTTTATTTATTCCTTATCTTATTATGTCCTCCTCTACCTGCCCAACCATTTACCTGTTCACCTTCGGTCCACATTGAAATCTACACATCAAAGTGTTAATATTCACAGAGAGTCACATTGTATCATCTGACTGTAGGTGTGTTCCACACGCTGCTTATATTTATCTCACCTCCAACATCCAATTATCCAGAGTGAGATGAGAGTTAGTGGGGGGGCGCTTTGATTGATCTCACCTCCATATTTTCAGATTTCACACTGCAGAAAAGTTTCTGCCTGGGGACTTTCTTCTCACAAGTCTCACATGTCATCTTCAAGCTGGAATAAAACAAACGCTTCTCACCGCAGCAGCAGTCAGGAGTTTAGGATCCGTTTTGAAAAAAAAAAACACACTTTTTGCATTCTGTTAGACAAATATGATTATTTTACCACACCTAAAAAACTGTGCAGAAGTGTTTCCTCTAGAGCTGTGCTGTTGCCCTGTGGCTCCTTAGAAACCATCACTGTCACAATATGGTGCAGAGGGAAAAGCTGATTAAAAGTTTAACTCCACCTAGAAAGTCTCTCTAACCCAGCGTCAGTTGAGCAAAATGAACTCAGTACTCTGCGCACATATAAACCCTGAGGCTGTGTGAGGGATCAGCTTGTCAAGATTTTACCCTCCAACTTTAGAGCCTGTCACAATCACTCTGTGGCACAAGCACAACTTTTTTTCTGAATGTATGAGGCGCAGTGAAGCATACGTGGATTGGAAAATGTAACCTCACTATTTCTCACCGTTTCCCTCTCTAAGATTATATGTGCAACAAAAATGGGAAGTTGTTTTAATCTGCAGTGATTCATGAAACAGTTTTCAAACTCTGTCATGACACTCTTGACCTGCTCTCATTTTCTTCTCTGTCCCAGTTACTATTTACTCTTTGATGATCCCAATCTCTTCTAAGGATTTTTTTGCTTGTCGCCTTTTTAAATTGTCACCAAACAAGTTCTCAAATCCAGGTATTTTGAAAAAGCAGCCATCTGACAAAAAAGGCTTTGGCTCGTTTCTACTCATAAAAGTCAAATTGCTCTACAAGCTTCAGCTCTTAGTCTACACTAAAGCCACTAAACCGTGAGAGTTGTTTTATCAGAGAAAGCATCTTTTTGGGAGTGTCTGAAGACACTTAGGGGGCAATGGATAAAAATAGATAAAGACTTCCCATAAAAACGGAAAGACTTGTATGTGAATTGTTTCATCTCTTAACAATGGGGCATTTCTATGTAGAGCAGAATTCTAGAGCTCCCCCTTGGTAACCTTACATTCACCTCCCTGTTTTTTTGGCAGTTCTGATGACTTGATTGTACTGTACCATGACCATTAGTGTTCAGCTTGGTTGTTATTGGCTTCCAATTATTTTCAGCTTTACAATAAAGTAAAAGTGGAGCTGAAGATCTAGACATGACACTTTGCTCTCAGCTCCCTTTTCTGCACCGATTCACCCTCAAATCAGTCAACCCAAACAATGGAGGCTGGGCTTGCAAGAAGCCTTCCTAGACTTCCTCTGGGATGGAATCAGGATTTTTACGACTTTCAGGAGGACTGTTGGAGCTAAACTTTTTTTGCGTTGAAAGGATAAAGGATTTAGAATCTCCTCAGGATGCCTCCTGGACACTTCTAAGTGGTGGGATTTAAGGCATGTTCAGTTTACAGGAGACACTCAGGCAGACTTGGTAAGTGCTTTCGGAATTATACTTCCCTCTAAGTCTGAAAATGCCTCAGGAACCCCCTCAAGGTGGACATGTCTGAAAAGACGGACATCTGGAATGAATTCAGGAACCACTGCACTCACTGTATCCTGGAGCTGCAGAAAGTACAAATCCAGTGGATGGATAGAATACCTTTCTACGGGTGTTTTATGCCCTTTGGTAAAACCTCTTTATAAAGTCATCTGCTCAGTTCTGTCAAATCAAAGCTGAAACGTCTTTTGAAATTTCTAGAAGTGAGTGAGTGAGTTGGTGGTTATGCCAGGTACTTAGGCAGGAAAAAAAGCCTATTCTGTCAAGTTGAAAAGGTAAAAGGGTTGTAAAATCATAAAATATATTTGAGGATGGTTGTAGCATCCATCCCACTAAAGCTACGTCGCCTCTCTGGAGGATGGAGCCGAGGAGAGGGTGAGAGGAAACATTAATGATGGAGGTAAATCATTACTTAATTCTGCAAGCTGTGAAAAGTACTTTCGAATGCACGACAGTGGTGTTAGAGAATGCATCTCTTAAAAACTTTAGAGCAATAAAGGACATGTTATTAAACCTCTGCCTTGTGTTTATGGATTCAAGAATTATTTATTTTTATATTTGTTGTAAAAAGTTAAAGCATAAATCAGTCGCATTGTTCTGAGCCAGAGATGTTTTAGGTTTTAATTGATTTTAAGGGTTTTGTATTGATGCTAGCTGTATTGATGCGTTTAGCAGATAACATGACAAGGCTGCAAATTCTGTTCATCACACTGAAGCTGTAACAACGAGCATCCTCCCCTCTTATTGACCTGACCTCCTCACCTTTAGCTTCAGTGTGCATCTTCATCAAGCTCTTTTCACGTTGTTGTTTTTTGGGGTTTTTTTCACCCCCCTCCCGATATATGTGTAATCATAATGATGTTCACATATTTACAAACTTAGTTTTTTTTTCGCCCTTCTACTAATACCGACTCAGACTTGTTTAGGGATGTCTTGGAATAAAGAAATTGGTTGATTTAGTCTTCAGTTAATTTATCTTTTTTAATAATAAAAAAAACATTTAAAATTCGCTTTTTATGTACTTTTCTGTAAGGACTTAAAACATGTAAAATGTCTCCTTAAAACAAGCTAGTTAAAAAAAAGGTCTGTCCACCAAGCACTAATGTAACCTGACAAAGTGACTCACAGGAGGATAAATAAGTCATTAGAATATGCTGACTCTGCAGTTTGTTTCTTCATAGAATAAATCACTTCATTGTGTGACATGAAGGAACCAACATGTTTACTTGAGAGTGAGAGTTTGTAAATACAGTTTGTCTTCTGAAAAATAGTCCTTTGAGATTCAAACCCCCCTCCCCCCTGTGGCGTCCCCGTGGACCATAAAGAGGTTTTTTAGCAAGTCAGGGTGATGGATGGTGATGACTTGTGTTACTATAACACACCGGCGGGTCGCCACGCAGGCAGCTCTCCTGTGAGACTGAGAATAAGCCTGTGTGTTTGCTGCACGGAGGCCTCCGTATTTATCCAAGTGAGATGTCAGAATGAAAGCTTAGGAACCAAGTAATTAGTCAGCTAATGATTCATTATACATTAAAGACGTGCAACATTTGCAGAGAGAATCACCATGTGCTTAGAAAACAGCTAAAAAACAGCTTTTGCTTACCTGAACTCCCTCACCCAGTACCACGCTCCCTCCCTCTCACAATGCTCTTCACCACCTGGTCCTACTTCCACAACAGGACCCAAAGACTCTTCTCCTCCATAGTCCTTCAGTGGAATTAGTTACCTAACTCCATTCGATCTGCAGAGTCTCTTTCCACCTTTGAGAAATCCTAAAGACCCAGCTCTTTCATGGACACTCGCACACTGAGTGATATTGATGTAGCTGATGATATTGATAATGAGGATATTAAGGATGATTAGAAAATGCATTATGATGATGATATTGATGTGGATTTTGTTGTTGATGTGTTGTCATTACTCCCAGCTGAATGTGGCTTCGGATTCAGCCTGACATTTTTACACTGTGTAAAACTGTAATCCAAAAATCTGATGTTAGTAGAATAGATTTACTGCTGAAGGATTTTTTTGACAGTTAGTCGTGTTTTTGCAATTTCATTTTCTCTCTACCTTGAGCCCTGCATGCACCCTCCCCTCTCTTCACGTAGATTTGCATTTTCGAATATTCAGGCTTTAGGTATCCAGAAAAAACACATTCATGATGAATTTGGTCAAAACTGTACACTTCAAAATCTGTCTGGCTGCTCCTGTTGCTCCTGCTGTCCGCTCTGCTTCAGGTACACCTGCTCTGATTTTCATAAGTAATGCAATCACTTTCACTTCTCACATATTATTTCATGTATTTATTGTAATTTATTTTAATCCAGTCAATCAAAAGTAGTTGGATCATAGTTCATTTTCACAGTGTTTTTGCATAAATTGTGGTATTGTGCTAAGTAGTGGCATGGCAGGTATCTGAGAAGAGAAAATCCCTCCTGAAAACTGTTGGCAGCAGTGAAACAAATTAGCAGACTGGAGCTTAAAATAATAAAACACTTTTTGAACAAAAACTTTATTTTGATAATTAACCACATGACACCCATGTTTCTGCGGCGCTGCACCTGTGCTCATTTCTCTGTCCTCACTGCTCACCAGCATCACCCACTCATGGACCCAAAAGGTCAGATCATTTGGGACGCTTTGTCGCATCTGCCAACAAAGCTTCTTCTTGCTGTTGCAGGCTATTTCTGAACTCACCTTTTCTTTCTGAGTGGCCATCTCAACTCAAAATGTGTTTAATCCGCCCCAGCTCTGGAGGTCAAAGAATAAATAGACAGTCAATATTTTGCTTTCGCAGGCACATTTAAAGGGAGAGAGGAGGCAGAGGGGGTACAGTGGCAGCCTCTTTGTGAAAAAAGTTCAAAGAACGGGACGGGGCTGGCTCGGACTTTGAAAAGTTTGTTGCAACTCTTCAAAGAGCTGTTTTAGAGTGTAAGCAGCTCTGACAAGAGAGAGCTTTTGAGTCGACAGATTTCATCTTTTTGTTCAGAAGTAAAATCTGAGTTTGGATTGTTTTGTCTTCAATTTGTGACATTCATTAAGTGTTTGTTTTTTTAACATTTAATTAATATTGTTGGTTTATTTACCACAATATTACAAGGAGTTTCAAGCTCAAGTTATACCGTTACATTTCTTAAATACTTTTATTTGTTTTGGATCATAGGAGTCTAAAAACATCAGGCACTGAAAATCTAGAGGATCGGAGTTATGAGCGTGTTGACTCTTTCTTGAAATGTAGGACAGTACTGGAGTAGTCTTTTTTTCTAACCCTATTTATAATGTTTACCTGTTTGACGCTTAAAGAACTGTCAGTCTTGAAATGCTTTTCACTTATTTTAAATGTGTTTTATGACACATAGATAATCAGACCTGTTCCTTATGTCTGCCATTATTGCTTCCCGCAGTGGTTTAATAAAAACAACTTGTTCTTACCTATGAAGAGTTGAATTCATACTCAATGTCGGTATTCAGTGTTCATGGACAGCTGAATCGTTTCAATAGTTGTTTGAAATTAAACTCTTTCATTCCCTCATAAAGTTTCATCATTAAGGTCACTTTAAACCTGGTGATGTTTTTCACTCCCATAATTAATAAAAAGTCTTTGTGTCCCTACTTTTGAACAGACCTTCCGCCTCCAGCCACGAGAGATCGCCCTCCAGGGTGTAAGACGGTGTTTGTCGGCGGTCTGCCAGAAAACGCCACAGAGCAGCTCATCGTGGAGATCTTTGGACAGTGTGGAGACATCACAGCCATACGAAAAAGCAAGAAAAACTTCTGCCATATCAGATTTGCTGAAGAGTTCACTGTGGACAAGGCTCTCTTTCTATCAGGTAAGATCTCAGAAACCTCAGTCTCTCCTAATGTATGATGCCTTTTGGTGTAACATGTCAGTGGATCTGTGTCAGTGATACCTGGATACATCACAATCAATAATACAAAGAGTTCTGAAGTGAGTCACTGAAAGTAAAACTGGTTTATTTTTAACCCTGAAGAATGTTAAGTGAGTCACAGTTAGATCATTAAAGAATAAATGCATCAATCATCTGATGCCTGTATGCAAAAAAAACGATTTCCCTTTTTCACATTATTTTATAATCTTTCTGTAAATTACTTCACTTAAGGATTGATTGTCGGTGTGGATTTAACGCTGCATCAATGTGCCGTCTTCTGACAAAGACTCCTGTAATAAAGCGTAGTGAACTTGCAATATGCCTGTTACATGGCTTCCTCCCAAAAGAAACCCTGTCCAAGGCTCATTGTATTGTACTGTCAGGGGACGTTTAACATGCCAAACACATATAGCTAAAATGATAGAAACTGTTGGCTGCATCACAAACCTGTTGGATGATATAGTTATTTGTGGGACTGATGTTCCTATTCTAATTTAAGGAGAAAGATAAAAGACAAATTGTTAGGGAACTTCAGAGAATGGTGAAAACAGCCCCTTTCCCTCTTCCCCGCTCCATGAGGTTAACTTGTAAGAAGGACGGTTCCCTCCTTAACTGTTCTAGAAATAAATAAGAGTAACTGTAGACAGCAAGAGCTATGGATGACTTGCGAGCACAAAATACACATTCATTAACTGTGGGAAGCAAGCTCATAGTTTTTTCTGTAATTGTCAATTTTCAAAGCAGTTTCTTGAACTTAGCTGTGATTCAGTAAGCCTCTATTCTTACCGCTACATGTGGGAGCTGGAGCCTGTATATTAGACAGATGACAGAGCTGTGTAGTTTCCCATAAACAATACCCCACTCACATACTTTTCATACACACCATGTACAAACATAACACCCAGTGACGCACCCTCCCCAGCACACAGAGATATCCTCATATGAAATATTGAAGTACGTTGGTGGAGTTGAAGCTGGAAGCAGAGAGCAGACTGAAGTAGAAACCCCACAAACTCATGCTCATTTATTTTCCCTGTTTTTACTGGAACAAGCAATGCCTACTGTGATGAGTGTGTTTGTCTCCCATTGAAACACACCGGGCATCATTATTATGACCGCCTAGAGCACGCACTCAACATGTGTACCAAAACACTGCACTGAACACACTGTGTTATCATTTCAAAACAAATTAAATAATAAAAAAAGGGTCTGATTTCACCCGAAAACCATAACCAGTCATTAGTGAAAATTGAATAAAGATGAGAGGGAGCAGAGAGAAGAAGAGGGGGTAATGAGGGATATATTGTGGTCTGTTAGCACCACTAGAGAAGTCATCGGCCTCTGCAAGTCTCTATAGTGAATTGATGTAATGATGCAGGCCTTCTGGACTCCACAAAGCTCTTTGGCTACAGAACCTCCTCATATTCAGGGATCAACTTGTAAAGTAGGTAACAGCGAGCAAAAAGAGAAAGGTAATCCAACAGGTAGGGCCAGAATAAAAAGCCTGTTTAGTGGTTTTCTCTGAATCTTTCTTTGTTCTGAATTTAATTTGTTGAAATTAATCCACAAAGAGAGTCTATGACATTTAGAATAAAGCTCATGTATTTCCTTTTCTTTTGTCTCCAGCTTTTTCTTTATGCTTCTATTAAGTTCACAAATCAAAACACATTCATACCTCTAGGAATGTTTTTATTTTGCATTTACAAAATGTGCAATGTCTCTCTCATACAACTATTTGTTTCTGTGTGTTCATTAGCATTCTGGAAGATGTATGTCTTCAGTGTAAATGAAGTATATTGGAAAAATGAACTGAAATAGTGGCCAGCTGATGTTCTTCACAGATGGTCTGTACAGCAGCTGTACTCACTTTGGTTTTAGCTAAAGGCTAACATCAGTATGACTGTGTTTTAATGCTAATGCAAAGTTGTAGATTTGGATGTACTCGAGCACTGACTAGTTGTACTAAAGTCAAAAAGCAGCTTATGATAAAAGAAAAGTTACTTAATTTGAGTTTTAATACCTATATATGCTATTCATTCTGAGGAGGACATGATATGTGCCTATATATGCAAGAACTAAAAATCACCAATGTAGAAATTTTGCTTGTGCAAGGTGGAGGTCAGTTGTCATCAAAGGAAAGTTAGTATTCTGAATCAAACTAGTGGATTAGCTGTCTGGTGTCACCACTAGAGCCTTACAAAAAAAAGAAAAAAGAAAGTAATGAAAAGTCATCATTAAAATTAAAGGACAGTTACCACGTGTAGAACATGCAGCACTAAGTGTGAATGACATTAAAATCACTGGACAGACAGTCAAGTTTTATAAACGGTTAGTCGTCAGCTTGCTGTATATATCCTTCTATTTCTCCGTCAGGTTATCGTATCCGCTTGGGCTCCAGCACAGACAAAAAGGATTCGGGTCGTCTCCACGTGGACTTCGCCCAGGCCAGAGACGACCTCTATGAGTGGGAGTGTCGACAGCGCATGTTTGCCAGAGAGGAGAGGCACCGACGAAAGATGGAGGAGGATCGACTCAGACCGCCGTCCCCTCCTCCCATCGTCCACTACTCGGAGCACGAGTGCAGCCAGCTGGGAGACAAGATCAAAGGTAAGAAGACTAGGAGTTATATAATACTTACAAAATAAAAAAATATAAATATGTAATACACAGATGAACCTCAACTTGTGTGAAAGGGAAAGTATTTCCTTTGAATATTGAAAGGACATTCACAAAAAAATCAAGTTTTAACAGATTTAAAAAGCAAACACAAGTTAAAATGGAAGTATATATTCAAACGATAAACAGACGAGGTAGGGAAAAGCTAAAAGGGTATTTCTTTTGGATGTGTCTTTTGTGATGGTCGGGGACACAGGATACAAAGCATTATGGGAATGGTCTGAAACTGCAGCAGGTAAACTGACAACGCAGTTTTTCTGACGTTCTAATAAATTCAGGGATTTGTTTTCAAGGGTCGTTACACAAACACTGTTAAAGGACGTGTATCAGTTTACTCATCCCTAGGCATATGCTCCCTCTCTCTCTTATCTCCTCCACTCTCCCTCTCTGCACTCTCCTTCCTTTACTGCTCAACTTTTACATGTTTTCCATTAGCTCTCCTTGTCCTTCTCTGAAGAGCTTACCTCAAGTTTCTGGCTGAATAAACATATTTCACTAATGAGAAATGACACTTTCAGGTCTAAGTCACTGGTGCCCATTAACAAATAGTCGTGACTCTCTGCCACTCTGTTCGAATCAAGTCTCCCAGCTTTCCCCTTCTTGGTCCCGAGTAAAGAAAAAAGCACTGTCATGTTATTACATTGTAGCCACAGACTTTTTTCTGATTACTTTCGGCTTCTGTGGTGAAGAAACACATCCTGGCTTTTCAAATTTAGATTTTTTCATCCCTGAATCTTCCACCCAGAGAAAAAATGGAGGTTAAGCCCTTTTCTTAATATTCCGTTACTGCACTGCGTCTTTGTCATGACAGGAGTTAAACATTTTCACCAGACCCTTTGAATGGTTTTCATCCCCTTTATCTCTCCATGTCTCTGAGGTGTCATTGTGGTCTGTGAAGTTTTCCACTGCTGCCTACATAATGACAGTTTCTTATCTGTACTGTGTTTTATATCTACTGTACTGTGTTCTCTTCCTTAATCCGATGTATTTTTGTTCTCTTGTCCTTACTCTCTTTGGATCACTGTGTTCTAGTTTTTTATCTTTTTCATTGTCTTTGCTCAAAATAACCCTGAGTCACCTGTTTCTGCCTTTTTACTGTTTTAAATATGTTATACAGAGAGCTGGTATAGATAGAATGAACAGCCCTGTCTCACAGGGATTCTGATTTTTTTATTTTCCTTATGGTTGCTCGGACATCTTTTTAGACATGTACTGCTTCCACTGACTTAAGTGTCCTGGAACCTGACTCTTCTTTTCTCTGTGCCCACAACCCTTGGCAGAGGACGGTAAGTTTCCTGAAGCTGTGCGTGTTCTCCTGACTGGTTGGAACGAGGGGAAGTCAACCGCAGGAATGCCAACAACTTCTATTCGATGATCCAGTCGTCCAACGGCCACATCCGCCGGCTGAGCAGCGAGAAGAGTCAGCACGAGAAGGAGATGGAGGAGGCCAAAGACAAATTCAAGACCGCTCTGTCTGGCATACTGGGTCAATGTGAGTCTTATGTTCTATATAACACACTACAGACTGTGATGTATAATACACTTTAAACTGTACTTTTATTTACTTTTTTTTTTTACTTTTGTATTTAGGCCAAATTTAAGTCGGGGATCACTCACAATGAGGGAAAAGTGGGTAAATAGTTTAAAGTTGTTTTGTAGAATATGTTTTTTATGTGAAGTATGTGAACAGTAGGAGGCTAGAAAGGAACAAAGAGCTTGGTTTGAAGTCCATGTAAGTTTCCAGATAAAAGAACTAGACACAGCATTATTGAAAAGAAGCTAGGAAGGCAATATGCAGCCAGATGTTCTAAGTTTAAGTTTAAATCATGGTCGAGACTTTTGGTGCCTGAAGAACTTGTTGCTGTGAAACAAAGTAAGTATAAACGCACAAAGCATGTAAACCCATTATTTCTATTCTCTCTGAATAACACATAATGGTTGGATGGATGTTTTTGAGTGAGAAGGAGGAGAAGCTATCTTGTGTGATGCTAGGTTAAGGCTAGACTTAAAGGTAAGTTTTCTTTATTTTTTCAAAAAGAGATAGTTTTATTCTCTTTTAATACATTTATCTTTAACCTGAAACAAAGAGGTGAGGTCAGAAAAAAAGTTGTCTTCAGACAAAAATCGTTAGTAGCCCAACTCAGTCATCGATGGCAGACGTGCAGTAAAGGCTTTGTCTCCACATATCCCACCAAATGAATGTTTAATACGATATAAACATCCTTCAACACGGAGTGAAGGTCCATGTTTCTGTTCCTTTAATCATTAAATGTGTAAATATAACATGGAGAAGATATTCAAAGGTATGATGGGTGCTTGTGTCTTTATACACCAGAGAGAGGGGGGCTAGCTATACTTGTGTTAGCCATCCATCCTTGCAGGCACTTTCTAACCCATAACTTTTCTTTCTGTCTTCCTGTGTGGAGGTTTAAAGTTTAGCTTGGGAACAACTCTCTGTTCTTTTAAAATGAAATCAGCCTGTCGACCCTTTAAGCTGCAGAACAAAGGTCTGTCTCTGATGGGATATGTCGCCTTAAAGGTCACTTCACTCATGTCACAAAAATGCATCTTGCCTATAGATAAATACATTGATAGATGGATAAATTGATAGATGGACGGACTGACTTGTATAGAGTCAAATGCCTGAAGGTCTGTCTGTGGTCTTTGCTCTCTGTTCTTACTTCTTCATCGATCTGCTCCGTCAAAATTAGAGGGTGCTGGGAAAGAGCAATCGATCGCTGCACTGTTCTGTCTCTCACCACTCTGCAAACACATACACACTTAGCTGGTGGTCATATTGACTCCCCCTGTGTTCAGTAGCACCTTTGGGATACACAGACCACCCAAACACTCCTCCATGACAGCCCACATGTCAACAGTTTAGAGATTAGAGGGAGAATTACTTTATCAATACACCGCATCTAAAATGAAATCTGACTCAAAATGTTGCTGTTCACAACACACAAAGGAACTCTGAAACCTGAGAGTTCAAGGCCTTTTAAAGACTTTTTAAAGAAGATCAATCCAGTTTAACGTTTCTACACTGTTATTTTGCAGCTTGTACCTTTATATCTGTTCTCTTAATAACAGTTTAAATCCACATTCAGAAAGTAAATTAAGAAACACTGTGTTACTTTTAAAATGTTGTCATTTGGTTATTTTCCCACTGCTGCGGTGGAGCTGCACAGCGGTCAAAAGTGGCACATGTCGAGTAGGTTCATTTTGACAGCTGTCAGTTGCTTAGCAAAACTTCCTTGTTAAAAATATTAAAGCAGACAAAGATACAGCCATGCTGACAGCTCTGTGAGCATACACTGACTGTATGTTGTCTTGGCATAACAGTAAGTCTGCCAAGACATTTATACTTCATTCCATTTTATCTTTTTTTTTCTTTTCATTTTTGTCTAGTAAGGGGCTCCCCTTTCTGGAGAAATGAAGGACAAAGAATAAAGGGTTTGAGGGCTTCATTCTGTATGAACCAAGATATGATGTTTACTTTATGGATGTTGGAAATTGTTTGATTAATTAAAGTTTTGCATGTGAGAACTCTCTGACCAAACATCCAAGATATGATGCTCTGGCATCAGCAGGTAAGTTGATCTGCTGGTTGCACACGCCTTTATAAACACACACACACACACACACACACACACACACACACACACACACACACACACACACACACACACACACACACACACACACACACACACACACACACACAGACCGAACACATACTCAGTTAAAAGCACACAGAGTTCATAACATCCCTAGTTGACTGGACTTTCTTACTGCTCTGCTCCCTCCCACCTGCCCTCTGTCTTTCTCTCTCTCTGTCTCTGGATGGTCTCTGGTCCCTCCCTGCATCCCGCCACAGTTGAACAGATTGTGTCTGTATTCCAAGCTGCTTCCAAACAAAAGGCATGGGACCATTTCTCCAAAGCTCAGCGCAAGAACCTGGACATGTGGCGAAAACAAGTAGAGGTTAGTCCACTTTGATTTCATTCTGATGTCAACATGATTTCTGGAGAATTACACTTTGTCCAATTTTGCTCAGCACCTGTCTCCATTTTGTATCTTTTTAAGTTCTTATTTTTATTTTGGCTGATGGTTAGAATGATTACCTCATGGAATTTAAACGTAACCAAGTGAAGAAGAATTGTCTAATCACTAGTCAAAGCAAGAAGCATAACAAGAGCAGAGTCCTTGGAACAGTAAGTACGTTACACATTAGACTGAACACAGAACAGGTGCCTTCACTCTCCAGCCAGTGTGAGATACAGACACACACACACACAGGTCCAAACCTTTACCCCTTCTCCTCCCCTCCCTCCATTACTGCCCTTCTCTGTGAATTGGATTCAAGCTGCTGGGTGAGTTTTCCATTTCTTATGATATCCAAGACGCAGCTTATTCTGAATATGCCTTCTCCCCCTGCACAAACACGTTGAGACATTTGCATATTCCTTTTTTTTTTTAAACCAAGATGCCTTTTTTATTCTTCACTGTCTGCTCAAAATGTTCTCTCTTCACCAAATGATTAGCATTAACTAACATGATGATGGGTTGTTTATAATGGAGGGTCTCTAGTGTGTTGCACTCCTGAGATGGGATATGATCAGATCTGATAGGTAAGTTTCTTTGTAAAAAAACAACAGATTTAAGGCATGATCTCAATTCTAATCAAACACACAATTATACTATTTAAGATCTTACAGCAAATGCAGCAATCAACTTGGCCAAAACTTCTAGTTAAAGGTAGGTGTTGTGAAGTAAAAATGTATGCTTTCATTTTGGTAGATGCTGCAGAAACATGAAAATACTGATGACAGATGAATCACCTGAATCTTTGCCCATCTTTTCTGCTATTCAGGCTCATTATAGCATGTGTGTGTGTTTAGGTGTTTTAACACATATTGAAGAGTATGTAGGAGGCAGGATGATAGTTGAGTACATGACCCGGGGTGTGTGACGTCAGTGAAGACCACTTTTGATTTACTGTCTCCCTCATCCAGACCTCCATGGTCTCTTAAGGATCTTCTTTGTGGGGAAACACTCGACTAGTTTCATTCTGAAGCAGTAGTATTAAAATCTACCATGAGGATAACCAAGTGTTTTCATCAGGCCTCAGGGACATTTCAATTCATCCCATGCTTCCTTTTGTATTGTGTTGCATACACTGAATACTCCAAGGAGTACAACATGAGGATAGGTTTCCGTTGAAGTCACCACTGTGGGTTGACTCAGATCTGCAGAATATATCCTCATTCAGAAAACATTCAGAGAAGAATCCTTAAAATGACATCTGAGTTGAGATTTGTTTCTTAAAGAAACTTTACTTTATTAATGATACTTTATAAGCTGTGAAAGTAGACTTTATTGACATTCAGAATGAGACCTTATAAACATGGTTTCATTTATTTCATTACAAACAACAGTGAGTGTGTTTTTAAATGAGAGACGAAAAGACAAATTAAGTAATTTTGAATCTGTTTGTGTCTCTCCATGTGAAGCAAAATAAGAAATACATCTCTTACCACACTATTTATGTTGGAAATAATATGTCAATATGTTAGTCATCTATGCTAGCCTGCTAAAGCACTGGAAGCCTGCTGGAAGCTGCTGTGTAGTGCTACATGTGGGTGCTGATCTCAGGTTTTTTAACAATGTGTTATTTTATGATATCTGCTAAATTACCAATTGTGTTCAATTAAAAAGGTAACTCTGTTATGTGGTAGAAGGTAAGTGTAGTGATATTGTAAATGCAGATTTCTATTATGACACTATATAACACACATTTGATGATTTCAACAGAGTTTAATGGAGACTTATTAAAAAAAAAAGGTTTTAAAAATAAGCACTCAGATGAGGCAAATCCTTAGGTAACTTCTACCAGTACGTGACCTGTCCGACACCTCTCGCAAAAACACTGGACCTTTGTTAAACAGTGATGAAATGTATTGATCTCATTTTTACTGTCATTTATGTTTTGCCCACTTCAATAAACCTTCCATGTTTACCTGCATATCTGACCCCAACCCAAAGGACGATGGTCTCCTGACAATGCACGAACATTTCTCCTGGCCCTTCAACCCTCTTTTTCTATAAAAGTTATTTTCAGTGTGTGTCTCTTTACAATGTAAAAAGCTGGACTCTCTGTTAAGCTGCTCCATTAGCAAGAAACCTCTTTGTTTTCATGAAAAACACCATTTACAGGTGTAGTCCATACATCTTCTCATAACAGAGAAGGAGAGCTGAAAATAGAGAGACTTGTGCACACTTTATTTCTCATCTCAGTGAGATAGTGTTTTCATGAATGGTCAAACTGATGTCTAATGTGTGAAATGTAGACTATGTAGATCGTGTTTGTTTTTCTTTTCTCTTGGCACACTCCTCGAGAGTTATTTGTTGGGTTGACCTTAGTCTTTAAACCTACTCGCCTCCATATAGATGTATTCATTAAAAAATCAGTCTGTAAAATTGACATGAAGCATATACAGTCAGTATATTACAGTTACCACAACTGTATGTGTATCTATACATAAAAAAAACGAATGGATGCAAATCAGTGACAGTTAGTACTGGAGACATTTCTCGCTTTGTCAGCCTACATCAGTGACTTCTGAAGTTTCAGTGACGGGAGCTGTGGTTGTCAGTGTCATCACTTCCTGCATGAGTGAGCTGTTTTCTTTTTTTAACATCTGTGCTGTAAAGTGCAAAAAAGAGTGTAGTCCAGCTGGATTTTGTTACCATCCGCCTTTTGAGTTGTTCAAGAGGAGGAATTATCCTTTATTACATCTTTATTCATTACACTCATTTATTCTGTTCTGAAGGGTTCCTTACAGCTAATCAAAGAGGTGCCTAGCAGATCTTCCTCCTGATAGCACCAACTAAAACATGCATCACATGAATCTTTGCACCTCTGAGCCTCCTCTTTCTCTTTCATTGCGTTTTTCAGGAGATCAGAAACATGCACAACGAGCAGCTGATGGGCATCAGGCGAGAGGAGGAGATGGAGATGTCGGACGACGACATGGAGGACATGGCTGACAGCAAAGACTCAATGGACTCAGGTATTCATATACATGCATGTATTCACAGATCAGCACTTCTGTCAACATGACAGGATATTCAGTGATCAGAAGCCCCAGAGGATGTACTCTGAGAGCGTTGAAATCACAGAGGGAGAAAGCTGAAGTGACAGTAATCTTCCTCTAAGGATCTGACAACCACCCGACAACTCCACATGAATAAGAAACACATGCACAACACATCAACATGCTGACAACATACATGCTTCACTGAGTGAATAATGAACATACTGTAACTACTAAAAGACATCAAGCCCAGTCCCTACTGGATGTACACAATACTCTATAATTGTGTGTACGTGTGTGAGCGTGTGTGAATGTGTCCACATCTCCAAGCTGCCAAATCATTTGATATCTAAGCACCATAATCTCCTGTTTTTCCCCTTGAGGAGCATCTTTATGTTTGTCAAGCAACAAAAACTAACAGTGCTGATAATCTTTTCACCCCCACCGCAATAAAGCATGTATCTAGAGTGATTGTCAGGACAACATGCTGTACCGTGACCACCACATGTCAGGTCATCTGATATTTTTCATGTTGTTTTACTCTATCTTCCTGCTTTTTAATCGTTCTGATCTCTGCCTCTGCTGATATGACAGCTTCTCTCATCAGCATGCAGATGTATGTAAATGAAGTCAGCTTAGCCCCCTTCTCTTCGGCAACCTTGTTATTTAGCTATCAGTAATTAGCATTGCTGTCATTGATCTGTCATTCCTCTCCATGCTGCAACGTCGACCCAGGTGACGGGTGTTAATGTGATACTTCTTGGTATTTGTGTTAAAAGGCTAACTGTTACTCGATCTTTACTCACTAACTTGAAAACGTTAACTTTTCAGCTTGAAACCCAGTTCTTTACAACTGCAGCCTCTTAAGTCGACCGATGCTCTGCGTCTGACTCTTGTGCAGAATAGCAAAAGAACCGCCTGTGTGCAGGACTGTATGCCTGTGTGAATGGCTGTATGCCTGTGCGTGTGTGTGTGTGTGTGTGTGTGTGTGCATGCAGGCTCCAGGATGTCTGCAGGTCGATAGCTCTACCTGTGATGTAAGAGAGGGGGAATTACTCAGAATCTGACCAAGTGGTTGACATCTCCTCGCACCGAGCTGATGAGGCTCTCAGATCAATATTCCTCTCGCTGCAAACCTTAATTTTGATGGTAGAGAAGTGCACACAAACACAGCATGGACGTGCACACACACACACACACACACACACACCAGCAACAGTTCATTAACACAACCAATGGTCCTCTGTGATAGACTGCAGGCAGCACTCGTGGACACCCACACTAAAACGAGCCAGATAAACACACACACACACACACACACACACACACACACACACACACACACAGACCTGCACAGGATGGGGCTTATCTTCGCCGTCCAGTCAGTGTGTTGAACTTTCCCCAAAGAGCTTCCCCTCGAGGCCCACAGGAGGAGAACAGAGCTGATAACAGTGGATACGACTGCAGCTGAGCGGGTCTCATACAGTAATAACTCCCTCTGTCTCCTCTCTGTGCTCAATAGGTCAGCTCAGATGTCCAGAAGAAAGCTAATGGTTGAAACACTTTGAGATTATCACAGCTTTCTCTGTTAGTATGCTGAAGGTGCCAGATTATTGGGCATGGATTCAATATTTTTACCTCACACATTTCCAGATAGTTAACTACACTGAACCTCTCACCAATATTTTCAAGTAGTGTGCTAGGAAACCTTTTTTATCATTCAGATTTATTATCAGCTTTCTAATTAAAGGGATGGGGTCCCGTTTTTGTTACACATGAGACATTGTCTCTGGTTTTCTTTTATTGGCTCTTAATTTTTCTTTTATTGGCACATAATTTGAAGTGTAATTTCTCCAGAAAGAGTTATTTATGTGAACCGGAGCAACATTCGAGCTGGGGCAACATTTTAATTAAAGTCTGATGGCTGTGTGGGATTGTTTGCTGATGTTGCTGCTTGTAATATTGCTGTGAAATGGAAAGGAGAGAGACTCAGGTTTCAGAATGATTCCCTCCAGTAGAGAGCTCGTTTCTCATTGAGCAGAATACTTCTACTTAAATTATTTATTTAATGCTTCACCAAAGAGTGTTAGAGGACACCCTCTGACTACCCGTACATGTGTTAATTCTCTAATCACAAGTTTTATGTAGTTCAACTGTTTCTGATCAATCTTGTTTGTTTTAACCATTTTGACGTATACATACTGCTATGGAGAAAAAGTCTTGTGTCAAAGCAGTTTAAAGAGCTTAGTTGTTAAATTTATGATCCAAACATGGCTAAAGGTTGAACAATGTATCCCAGTATTTGACTTAAAATGCAAAGGAAAGTTGAGTTAGGCTGAAGACTATTTTGTCTCAACCCTCATAGAATTTGAAAGCAGTGATCAAATGTTTCCCTAAAAGTAAGAAAAGTAACCAAGGAAGCTTTTTTATTAACCAATGTAACTTAAACAACGTTCTAAGTGTCTACCACGCTTTAAAAAGTTTATCATATTTCTTTATTTTGTGTAACTGATATTGAAAAGAATAATTTCAGATGTAAAGACAAGTTTCAGGGACTTAAATACTGTTTCTGAAAAACCCCTGCTGGGAGAAGCAGATACAAATATATCAGCAGAAATATATCCAGAAGGAATTTGCCATTTTGTGTTTAAAGCAGCCTGAAGTTTGTAAAAAAAAAAGTCAAACTGAGATCTCGCTTTTTCCAATAATGCTTTGATTTTTTAGATTGGACTAACTACCCTGGCACCCTGCTGAATATTTATACACCTTCTACAATTCATTTAGGCAGACAAAAATGAATGATGAGTGATCTAATAAGAATTTGAAATGTCAGGTTGTGACAGAAATGTTTCCACAAAGAAAGAAAGATCAGAAGTAAAAAGAAGGAAACTCAAAGTCTATACGATGAAAGTGGCACTCAGGTTGATAGCAGTAGGCAGCAATGAGGTATAAATTGAACAGCAGTGCAATGTTATACATAATAATGACCATAGTAAACACTGCTTTGTGCACTTTATGTTGAAACCTGCAGGAGTTTCTCAAGCTGAAGCCTTAAAGGAGGAGAACGACTCCCTTCGCTGTCAGCTGGACGCCTACAGGAACGAGGTGGAGCTGCTCAAACAGGAACAGGGCAAGAATCAACCAATGAGGAGTGAGGAGGACAGCACACACGCTCAGCAGCTCAGCTTCCTGCAGCAGGCTCTGCAGGGCATGCAGAAGGTAACACTTATTTTACAAAAACATAAGCAAAGAATCATACAGTCACTCTTTTCCTGTCCTGTATCCAGCAAGAAGTTTCATCTCCTATTCATTACCGTTCTGCTCCAGCTTCTTTTTATGAACAAGGTCGTTCAGGTTAACCCGTTGAATTTTCCTCTTAGACTGTCTTTTGTTCATGATTCAGTATTCTCAAAGAGACCAGTGAGGGAACAAGTACAAGAACAGGTGTCTGCAGCTGCTGTTAGTCTTTTTCTGAAGAGCTGCAAAAAAATCAATTTTCATGTTTTCTCTTTTTCTTTGTTTGAAAACATGTGGATCCACAGCATCCTCAGTCGTCTTTTTTTCAAACAGGACCCATCCTTTTTATCCCTTTTTAATAGTTCACTAAGATTTCTCTTGGCACAGAATTTTTTGAAATTTGAACTAAAGTCCTGGAAGAATGATTTATGTGAAAAACTGTACGTTGTCTAGAAGAACAACATACTGTGTTGTCATACAACAGAGTATGGGCTCAAGGTGCAAATGTCAATACATTATAGGACATGGATATTACTGTGCATGCACTGTGAGGAATGACAGTATGTGCAGACATTGACGTTGTTTTCTGAACCACCTTATCTTTAGGCTACGGGAGGAATTTTACCTTTAATAAATAAAATGTAATACCCCATAAATACCAGAGAACTACTGAGTCATTGTGCGTTTGAAAAGTGTCCTCACTCTGGTGGCTGTCATAACGTTTAGAAGAAGAGAATCCATTAAGTCCCTGCTGTTCCTTTATGCCTGCAGACACTAATTACCTCTCCATCTTACGTCTCATGATGTGTTTATGGAACGATGAGGTGGATGGATTAAATCAATAAAAACACCCTGAAATGAGATAACACCCCCCACCCACGCAAATATCCATGCAAAAACACAAATTACAATGAAATAGTCTCAGCATGAAGTGGCAAACCATTTTCTAATTTTTGAATTGAAGTGCCTGTAATAAGGGAGTGCTTAATGTGCAGCTTTGCAGATCAAACTTAAAGACCTCTCATTTGTCAAGGTGTGGACCCTTAATTTGTTGAAATTCAAACAGCAAGAGGGGAATCTTTCTTTTTATCTGTGTTAGCAGAAAACTTCAGAGGACAAGTAAGAAATACAAACTTTTGTAAGCTATCAAAGCTTTCTTTCCTTTTTTACCCCTGTGAGTTCTTCCTCTCAATGTAATTTGTACTTTTTGAGCATATTTCTCCTCTTGGACACATACAACAGAAACATGTGTGACAGATTATAATGTAACAATCATTTCCTTTGAAAAAGGGATTATTAGGAGATATAATTCACATCATTGTCTGATTTCTTCTTTGTTCTTATTGTCATTGAGGATTTCATCCTAAATATTAATTAAACCAATGTCTGATTGTTTTCTGCTTTCAGTTTGCCGTTTGAATAAAAAAGGTTTATATCGTCACGGTTACATAGTTCACAATAGCAGTTATGGCTTTTTGTTCCCTCTTCTCTGCGCAGCAACTGTTAAAAATGAGAGAAGAAATGAAACAGCGAGACGCGGAGCTGGAGAAGAGTTTGGAGGACAAACAGCAGCTGAAGAACCAAGTCCAGACCCTGAAGGAGGGACTGCAGAACCTGCAAAACACACACGCAGCGCAGGTTAGTGTGACGGGGGGGGGGGCGTGTTCCTCTGATGGAATTGTATTGATTAGTTTGTTTCTGAGTGACAATCTAAGTTTGAAAGTCAACACTTGTATCTAATTTGCATTTTTATAAGAAAGAAATTAGTTCAAGATGAGTTTCATTGTGGGAAATATATTAGAGAAAAAAATCTTCAGTTAGAGAGAGTAGTTTGAAGATGTATTTTCTAAGCTCCTCAATTAAACACAGGAAGCACAAGATCATACATGGCTAGATAAATGCATAACACGAGCAACACGATGATGTCACCCTGTGTGCTTGACAATAAACATGACTACTTTCCTTCATTTGTCCATCACAATGTCGCATTATGAAAATGTTCTGCATATCGATCACTAGAGAAGATAATCATCAGTAGCTGCCTGATACAGCTTCGTCTTTATCTTCATACTTCTGTACCGTCTGCTTAAACACATGAAGCCTGTTTCACTGCGATGTTGTTACTTATTATTTGAGTATATGTCGAGACTGACTTTTATGATACAACTCATTTTTATTGAGTTATTGTGAAACTCCCCAAACGTATTTCCATCTTGCTACCTACACACAACAAATGTCAAATACTTACATTAACAGAATAATGCATCAAAAAACATTTTAGTAAAAACGTCTCTAAAAGTCTTCAAAACAACCTTTATTTCAAAAACCTTCCAGTACATCACACAGTGTATGTTTTTTCCTCCCATCTGTGCTCCTCTGCCAGATAAGATATAGTGTTTGTCCACTCCTCCATAACTGCATGTTATCCAATAAACCACATAACAAAGAACAAGAAGAAATCAATTCTCTCCTAACTAGAAACACATTGAGCATGTGGCACCACAGTCAAATTGTTTCCTTGTTTGTCAGCTGCTGAGATTTTATGAGAAATCAAACCACCACAAAACCCACATCCTGTCATTCCTGAACATGTTGCTCCTTCTGGCTAAATCTGCACTTGATTCACATGGAGAAATAATTTCATCATTTAGTTGTGATGGACTAAAAGTGTGTTCATGCTGCTTTCAGTATGTATGAGCAGTAATAGTGAGATCACCATGAACTAACCCTGCAAATGACTATAAGCCAGTTAAAACCAGGGCTGAGGGGAAATTTAGGGAATATTACTTCTAATATTGCATTAATAGTTGTAAGGTAAGATTGTAAAAATGAATACGGTTTTCTACTAGAATGAGGGCAACAGTGAGTAGAGAGGAGGGGCTTCCATTAGCAGTAGGCTAAGGGTTCAATCTCCTTTTCAATTGGATAAAAATAAAAACTAGAGGCTCTCAGTCCACTCGGGAGTGGTTCAGCATGTCGTCTGTTTGCTCCGAGATGTACGAGCTGACAGGTGCGCTGAGATCTACTGAAGTTACAGAGTTGTCAATAAAGTGTTACAGGGACGATTTGATTAGAAATGTGTCCCTGTGACTGGGAGCTGTGGGAGAAATGCTAATTAAACCCCCTGCATGTGAGCACACATGAATCCTGAGAGGCAGTCTCATTAAAACGGAGGAAGAGAAATCAATGTTTGGGTGTAGGTTTCTCTGAAGATTAGCGGTCATTGTGGGTGATTTGTCATGTTGAGGACTTCTCTTTGTGCCATCAGTTCTCCTTCACTGGTCCAGTCACTGATTTGCTGTCACCACACATTACTGGATTTACACCAGTGCAGTTCATTGAAGCTGTTGGCACTTTTATTTACAGTATGATAAACATGAAAAAAAGCCTATTATCAAGCTTCAGTAAATATGTTATAGCGCTCCCTCTAATGATTATTTGTATTATTAAGTGATCTCTTAAGTGATCATTTTAATCAAATGTTTTACAGAGCTCCCTAAAGCTAAAACTAAAGTAACTGTGATGGAAATAAAAGGGTTATTGTCTCAGACCTACAAAGCGTACTCTCTTCCAGAGCCACATGAAAAGTTATTCACCAGTGAATGATAAACCTTATCTCAGGTGAACTAAAGTTCATATGTTCCCACTAAACCGTCCATGGAGACCATCAAATTGTCAGAAAATGTTTTTGAAGGACTTGGTATCGATATGATCTCAGAATATAAGGGGTGGGACCATTTTTAAAGTCAAGTGCAGCTAACAATCTGGTTTTATATGACATCTCTCAACATCAACCCCATTTGAGTCTCGAGTTGCTAGTCTGACTGTAAAACATGTCACGCACTGAGAAGAAAGTCATGACAGGAAGTCCTTCATTGATTACACCAGCAGCACTTTAACTTTGCTCCCAGAGGAGACCTCTAAGAAAGGTTGTCTTCATTGATATTTGTCTGTGATTAGATAGAACTTGTTGAATTTCAGTTTTCAAACCTTTCCACTAGATGTAACAGTGAGTCAAGAACCTGCATATCTAGTGAGTGCAAAAGTGAAACACGTATAATTATGGATAATAAATATGTCATTAATAATTTGACACTCTAAATGATAGATATATATCAAGGCAACTTGACCAAACACCTTGAAAAAGAAACATTAAACATTTACAACACCAGGATCAGTAAGTCTAATATGGATTCATGTGCACAGCCACACATCCTCCACAGACGGTGGGTTTTCTGAGGTGAAGAGCGAGCAGACTTTCATTAAGTCGTCCTGTTTAAAGGAGAGGTACAGTCAAGGGGTGCTCAGAACCCAATGTATAGAGCTATGGTCGTATGTAGAAACAAAAAATATATAAAACTGTGTTATTATGCATGCCCAAAAAATCTCACAAACCCCTTTTGCTCATTTTAGCTCAGTAAGGGTTCATTATATCAAGCTGCAGTTTGGCGTCTCTGCTTCTATTTATGATCTGAATCAAAACATTTCTTGACATGATTCTAAAAATACTCCCCACTTGTAGTTGTCTGTTTTTGCACACCGAGCTGTGTGCATCCACGCACGCCAGTCTGTCTACATTAGCACTTACCTTGTTTCTTTGCCTCTTGTCCTCGTGTGTTTGTGATGTGCCGCAGCTGGAGATGTCGAAGCAGGACGACAGAGGCAGTGAGGAGAATCAAGCCAGTGTAAGTGGGAAAAAAAAGAGATCTAACCCTGAATTCTCCTCTTCACATATTGTTTTGTGTCCTCATTTCTCCCGCTCCTCCTCTGACTCTCCTCTCTAAACTCTTCCTCTAACATGACAGATCATTACAGGCCGATCCAATTCACTGCCACCACATTTCTCATTGAGTAAATCAGCACAGACACAACTAGGCTAGGAAATAAAGGAGTCATAAAGACACAATGACTCGCAAATGTGCGTCTGTCTCCACACCCACACACACTGACACACACTGTCAGGGTGTAATGGATAGATTAAAAACAGAAAAAGGCCAACAGGCATCCCACACCATAAGTGAAAAGAGTACACACACACACACACACACACACTGTTATGGAGGACCACAAACAGCAAACACTCCTCTGACAAATTTTCCATCACCTGTCAGAGATCTGAAACAAACAGTTTGATCATTTCTTCTCTCCCTCTATTTCTTCTTCCTACACTCGTCTCTGTTTTGTCCTTGTGTGTGTGAGTTATTCATTTTATGAGAACTAAAGCTGCTGGCTGAAAATCCTCCCTCGTCTCATTATCCTCAACCTTGTTCTCTCTTGGTATCATTTTTTTGCTGGAGAAACTTTCTGGTGTGTTCATTGGCATTCATCTTTTTCTTTATATCGTGTGTCATTTATGAACTTAAGTTTGGCTTGTTTACTTCTCATCAAAAGCAGCGGCTGGTAGCAAAAGCATGCAGGTTAACTTTGTGTGTGTTTGTGTGTGTTTGTGTGTGTTTGTGTGTGCAGGAAGCCACAGTCTCTGCGGTGGTGAGCTGCAGTCAGGAGAAAGAAGGTCCAACAGAGAAGACTCCATCGAGTCCTGTCCACTCTGAAAGAGAAGCTCTGCTAGTCGGTACGCTGACACAAATCTTTTATATTGCAAAAAAAATGCTCCCTAATAGGAGCACTAGCAGCTACAATTCAAACTGTTTGATATGGAGCTGTATTATTTCAGGTTATTGACTGCTGCGCTTACATATATTATTAGTCTAATGAAAACACCATTAAGTCGTTGATATACAACAAAACTGGATTCAATTATTCCAGCGTTTGGTTATTGTACGGTTACTGGTTTCTTAGGCTGCGGGAACTTTGCTTAATGGGTATTTAAAGAGACCATGATTATTAAAAATTCCCTGAACTGTTGAAAAGTGGTGTCAGCAGAGTCTCACAGCTCAGTTTTTGCCAGTCTAGCAGATTACTGATAGCAGGTGCGAATGCTGCAAAAACTCAAGCAAACATGCATGTGTGGTCTTTATGATTCAGCATGAAGCACAAAGGACATAAAACAGAGCTCATGTATGATTCACTGTAATCTCATCTGTAACTGTTTAGGATGAGCTACACAGTTTAAAGAACAAACTTTGGATTCCATCAGATGCAGAATTGATATTACAGTCACAACTTGTCATTGATATGAAGTGGTAAGACTCCAGGGGAAACAAAATAAGAAAAAGTTTTAAAAAGATAGTTTCTGGTAGCTACGTTTTTTAAAACATTTGCTGATGCTGCCTCTAAGTCTTACATACTAGATCTCACAGTCACTTAAATCTGCATATTCACTGAGTGGGCGCATTGTCACAGCGAACGTCTGCACTTTCAGCTGGAGATGTTCATTGGCCCTTCAAGGCAAATACACACAGACGGCAAAACCACTCCAGTGGGCTGTTTTCTGAAAGTAAATCAACAGCATCAAATACTTGGTGTTGTAGCTCCATGCACCAGTAGACTTAGCCTCTGATTTGTTGCTGTTGGAGCAGCTCCAGGCGAGCATGTTGTTTATGTGCGAGTATCAACCAGCCTCATGCAGGCAGCAAAAAAAAAAAAGGTCTTTGAGTTTAAATTTCCCCATAAAAAATCTATTAATTCTGTTATTTCTGCTCTAGGGTTCGAGACTTTATGACTTATCAGCATGACATTGTTTCAACTGTTGATCTCTGGATGCTCTAAAGGTAGTTAGTGGGCAGAGGTGGAGGATTATCTCTCTCATGTCCCGGTGAGCTGATAGCAGATGGTTTGTTTGAGCTGAGCTTTGACGAGAGGCAACAACATCAAAAGCTGTCATTAAACACTTCCTCTAATCAGGAGCCACAATAGAGAGGAGAGGAGAGGAGAGAGAGGAGAGGAGAGGAGAGAGAGGAGAGGGAGGAGAGGAGAGAGGGAGGAGGGAGGGAGAGGAGAGGAGAGGAGAGGAGAGGAGAGAGAGGAGGGGAGGAGGGGAGAGGAGAGGAGGGAGAGGAGAGGAGAGGAGGGAGGGAGGGAGGGAGAGAGAGGAGGAGGGGAATGTGACACATTTCTTCCTTAACTTTATCTTTGCATGACTGGTTTGTTCCTCCTCAGGGATCATCTCCACGTTCCTGCACGTCCATCCGTTTGGAGCCAGCATCGAGTACATCTGTTCCTACCTGCAGCGTTTGGACACAAAGGTAACAGACACAAACCTTCACTGTGGGAAAGATCAGCAGAGTCACCTTCAGTGTGAGTTTAGATTACATGCCGACACTGTGTCAGTCCCCCTACAGAGCCGACATATGGACTTTATGTATGCCAGATGCCCTGCTGTGAAGTTGAGCCAATGCTCCTCTCTGCTTCTACAGCTCTTTTAATTGAAATTGATGGTTTTGGAGGAAACAGCTATAGGAGAAGCTGAAGGGTTTAAAATGAATAGTTTGACATTCTGTAGTGTAAATAGATATTCTCATTTATCTCCCTGTCAAAATGTCAAAGTATCTTTATAAAGAACAACGAGCTAGATGAAGAGGATGAGATTAAGATATCTTTTACACGAGAGGCCTCACTGGGGATTTATTCTGCAAGATAACCATTTGTGTTTCTCACTGTGAGATTTGATTTGTCATCTGCAAAAACTCGACACAAAGTTGCTGCCAGAATTATCTTTCTGACAGTAGGAACTCTTTGAATATGCTCATCACCAGCCTGACTCATCCTCACACACAAAAAGAAAAGATAGTGACTGTATTCTTTCGGGCCTTTTTGGTTTGTTTTTTTGTCCAGTATGTGTTTGTGTACGTGAGCAAACGCCCACTCTTATGTATCCGTATGCGTATGAATGCATTGTGTATTGCTCCTACATTGAGTCTCCCGGCTGCACACATAAAGCAGCCCACACAGTTTTTTTTTTTTCAATAACACAGACTTGACTCCCCAATGACAAGAACTGATCCACTCTTCTTATCTACACGCTCCACACACAGCTCCATTGTGTGTAATGTCACACACGTCTTATCTCCATCACGGACCTTAATGCATCAGGACATCAACACAGAGCCTGAACAATGTAATTATAAATGTGAGACGCTGTTGACAACAGCATTTACAGTAGACTTAAAAAGTGTCAGCTCAGAATTTCAATCAACACGTGATCCTCAGCCCACGGATTGTTTTACAGAATCCACGAATCTAGTTGATGTATATAAACAGTGGTCGCAATTTTATTACCAAAAAAAGTAAATGGCTTTCCTTTTTTTCAAAGCAACAAACGCTTCTTTCTTTTTGCTTTAAATAATGTTTTAAGAAATAGAAAAGAATATTATGAAACAGTGATTCATGCCAACCCTCTAATTTAAACACAACATCTCAACCCAGATAGCTTTAGGTGAAAAACATGAATCAAACCCATGTACAGTACGTATACCTCCATGTTTTTTATTGATTGTCTTATTTGGAGTCTTGTTACTCATTTCATGCATCAACTCAACAAATTCTATGCAGTTGAAGCAAGCTCACAAGTGAATAATAAAAGAGAGAGTTTACATTCTCCACTTTTCTCAGAACGTTCTCTGTCATACATTTGACAGCCTCACATACAGAGATAATAATATAACAGGAGAGTTGTATTCCACTGCTTGTTTCATGCAGAACCTTTAAAACAACAGCAGTAGCTGGAGTTAAAGATCATTCGTTCAGTTGTCCTCAGTGTTGAAGATGGCATTGAAACTGTTGAGGAAATTACTAAGACTTGACTCCACGCAGTAAGACTCAGTTGACTCAGATGGCTTACGTTGATGAAAGTTCATACATGAGAAGAATACTCAAGGAGACGTGATTCAACATCACACTTCCGTACTCGTGTCTTGCTCAATCACATCTGCCAAACTTTTCGAAAGGCATCGCATATATCCCAAAAGACATTATCATTATCAGGGTCGTTGTCACATTGACCCACCTAGACTAATCTGTGACGTCGATTACACTGGAGCAGCCGATAAGTCTACCAAACATCCTTGCAGATATCAGGAAAAACAGTTGACACTCTCTAAGCTGTACTTAATGTTCTAATAACAGCTGAACTCCGTCAGGTCTGACTGACATTAGAGAACAGTGAATAAACCTAATGACGTTTGTACATTATAATCTAAATAACTACAGAAATTCCACCACAGAAACATTCATCTGCAAGATCATCTGTTTTTTTCTAAAATTACTAAAGTTTTCTCAAACTGTCCGTGTAAAGTAATGAATAAGGTAAAGCGCTGTCACTACTGTTTCAAACTTTAGAGGCCTCTGAGATATAAATCAGTTCAGTGTTTCAGTGGGGATACTGTGAGTGTGTGTTAATAAAACATCAACTATAATATTGCTCTGTTGAATGTTTAATGAAGGTCTTACTCAGGAGCTGATTAATGACAGCGCTTCACAGTCACAGTAAAAAGGTTACAAAATAACACACTTAGTTCTCAGGAGTTCTGCAGCTCACAAACTCCTAGGTGGGACTTGGGGGGCACCAGAAGGTTCTCCCATAGTATACCACACTGGGCTCAAATTGGTTTTGGTGTATTTGCAGTAACTGTACCATGTAAGGTTTAGATTCTGTACGATTAGCTTGTAGCCTGTGAAGGAGAAAAACACCCTGGGTAATGTGGTTGCTCCTCTTGGAAGAGTTCAGTGTCAGGGCTCTTCATTAACTGTTTTCTATATTTTCCCTGTGAGACCAGAATAAATCAAATTATTATAATGAAGCCTGGAGGAGATAAAAGCATCAAGATCTCTGAATAAAACACCTGATTCTTAGCAATGAGTGGGAAGCTGCTTGCTGTACTCCAGTGGCAGCTCGAGTATAATATGACAGTTCTGAATCTAAAAGATAAATCAGGACATTTGATATGTAATCCAAAGAAGCATTTAGATCATTAACAGCACTGCGGGCATGAATAGGAGTTACAATGATTGTGATTGCAGTGTAGATTGAGTTGTGATTACTAAACGTGTCAAAATTATGAGACCCAGTGTAACACCTTGTGCAACAACAAATAGTATAACAACAGATAGTGGGCTCCAGCAGCCACAACAGAGGTCTTGTTTCATTTACTCAGTGCTAAATATAAAATGAGAGCCCCTGTAGCACAACTGGTAGACCCCATGTCCCATATATCAGGCCTCATTGCAGCCATCTCGATTCAATTACAGTCTACTGTATGCTCTCTGTGGCAAGCCATTCCCTCTGTCACTCCCCCGTGCCTTTATTTTTATTTTCTCATTACTGAGACAGGAATGTGGACAAACACTGTGGACAAGAACGTTTTCTGTATTTTTTTTATTTTCATTTTGCATTCAATCACAATAAATGAGAGTTTTCTTTTATTCATAGATACAGCTGCTTTCTGAAGAAGTATCCCTAATTATTGTGGGTGTCATGTACACTGGGTGTATCTCTGTTAGAACACGAATACGTTCCATTGATTTCTTGTCTAACCCTGGTCTGGTATGTGTGTCTCTTCAGATAAACACCAGTGAGGTGGAGGCTCTTCTCTCTCGGCTGCCTTGCACCTTCATACAGGAGCTGAGTGGAGTCGGAGCCAGTCTGGAGAAAAGATGGAAATTCTGCGGCTTCCAGGGCATCAAGAGCACATAGAGTCTGCTGGCTACACTTCCAAGATGTGGAGGAGAAGACAGGAAGACGAGGCTCAACATAAGGAACACTGTGGAGATGTGAAGGACAGAGTATGAAGCCCACAAATATCAGAGACTGTGGACTCTACCTGACTGTTCAAGGACACAGAAGACTGAGCAGAGAGGATGTTACATGAGTATTTTTCAGGGACCCTGAGCAGGTGGCAGAGACTGAAAGACGCAGCATTCCCATGGTTACTGGAATAATGTCACACAATCATGAAGACAGAGGCTTCTTGAGCATGGACTCTCACTGAGCTTCTCAATGCCTGCAAAATATTTCTTGACCTAAAGACTTAAAGAGTCACAGAAGTGCACCGACTCCTTCAGTCACTGGATTATAATGTTGTACTTTTCAAGCCTACAGTCGGCTCTGTATGGTGTCAGTGTGAGCCAGGACCACAAGGCTAACTGAAGGAGGCTAATCAGGGTTTAACTGAACACTTAAAACTCTTCGGCAAACTCTCTTATCTGTTTTGCTGTCTGGTTTGTAACATAGATCAAAAATGGATATATTTCTTCATTTTCTGTAAAGGCTGTTAACAGTTGCATAGAATCATTTCTTGTAATACACTGTAAAATCTTGGTTAATATTTTTGATGATAAAAAGAGTTTTAGAATATAGAAATGTTTGTGTTGATTTTAATATACCTGATACTACGATACAACTTATCGTATATTATAAGACGACGCTTCAGGCAGTCATTTCAGACCTTACATAAGTGTCAGTGTCTTTCCAGAGCCGGTTAAGCCTGGCTCTGAGCCTGGCTGAGGGCCTGCAGCATCACACTTAACTTTGAAACACACCTAAGGGATCATGTTAATGATGTTTAATTGGTGAGGCAGCCTGTGTGTGTGTGTGTGTGTGTGTGTGTGTGTGTGTGTGTGTGTGTGTGTGTGTGTGTGTGTGTGTGTGTGTGTGTGTGTGTGTGTGTGTGTGTGTGTGTGCTACTTGCCTGGATCCATATATTAAGCGGTTACACAACACTCTACAGAGGGGAGTTTTCTCCTCCATCTTCCCCAGATAGAGAGCTGTAGCCGCCAGGACCGAAGGTTCCTCCCAGAAGCCCAGTCAAGCATCCTTAATGTGCCTCCACTGGGCTATTTGGCTGTGAGCTTCTCAGAAACCAAGGTTTATTATTACACATGATTTGCTCTCATCGGTCTCCTACAGGCACTGCATTTGAAAAATTAGCGTTCCTGCACTTGTCAGCGTACCGTTCTTTGTACCTTAATTAATAATGGAGAATGAGAATGTTCTGCCTACAAGCTCCTACCAGGCTTTACTTCCTCTTACACGTATCCATTATTAAAATCATCGGTTCGAATAGGAAATGGTTTCATGGGTAAAATGTCAAATCAATGTCGCGGGAGTGGGCTTGTTTGCATGTTATGTTACATACAGTGTGTAACTTCCAGCCCACGGAGGTTGTTGGCTTCTGTCAAGCATGAATAGGAAAGAGTAAATGCTGGTGCATTATTTTTTCATATGTAGTCACAGCAGAGCCTAAGAGCAAAGATCAGGTCTGCATCTGTCTTCTGAGGTAGTATTTTCCCCCCATTTGTCGTACAAAGATGATGTTACAAAGAGAGGAAGAACTGCACAGCCGTACTTTTCAGCTTCTCCCTGCTTGATGGTGCACATGGGATTGTGAGGCTGTTCAGAGTCATGCATCGCTGCATTTCCTCTCCACACTGTAAAACTTGATCTCAGCAGAACATCCCTGATGAAAAACTCAAGCCTCCCCTCTCTCTCTCTCTCTCTCTCTCGCTCGATCGCTAGTTTTCCCTCCCGCTCTCCCTGACATAAACAAAACACTAATACGTTGCATTCTTCTCCTTCAGACACAACTTTCTGTCTCGGGTTTCCTCGCCACTGCTGTTACAAGGTGATTGACCGGAGGCGCTCACTATTCATCTCGTTCACAGCTGTTTGTGTGTCAATGAGCGTGCTTGTGATTGTGCATCAGTTTCTCGGGCATCTCACGAGGCGGTAAACACAGACTGATTCAATCCAGCAGCAGTCCCCTGTGAATGCCGGTCTCCATTCGCTGTTGTCCTCTTGATGCTGCGACAGCAAAGGAGCCTGCTCATTAAGCCAGTTCAAGGTGTATGCCGGTAAAAGCTATTCAAAGGTGTGTTTTACCTCGCAGGCACTGACCCCCCACCTTAGGAACACTTCTACATTTGAGAAGATGTTTGAACATGTCCTCGGGCATCTTTTGATGTTAAGCTCCAGCAATTACATAGCCTGAATTATTAACTTTTAAAGGTGTTATTGTAATTCTTGTTGGATATTTTGTCCTTAAATCCATTCATATACACTCCTATCACGTTTACGAGACGTCGGTAATTGGACACTAGGAGATAACCGGGTTCTTCTGGGTGATATCATGATGTCCAAGACCCCCTTAATTACCTTTTCCTCTAATATTGCTTCCTGAAGGCCTCCTCATCTGCTTCATTATGATTATGGTCTCCCCTGAGCAGGCAGATGAGAGGAGGCTGGCTGTGTGTGCAGCTATGTGGCTGAGAAGAAGATAACCAGTTTGCAGGTGTGGAGTTTGGCCATTCAGAGCATGTAAATCACCAAATATCTTCAGATCTTAAGCACATGAAGATGAAAATGCCCATTGAAATGAACAGGTGAGTCAACAGCTCCTCCTGTTGAGCATAACCGCAGCTACACCTCACACTTTTTACTTCTTTTTTTCTCCACAGCCTGCTCTGGGGGTGATTTGCATTGACAGCGGGTGTACAGCCACAGCGCTGGGGGACATGTTTGTGAAGGTTTCTTTCTTAGTAAAAGCTCCACGGTCCTCATTAATTTACGTCTGCATAAAAGCGCCTTAAATTAACTCTTATTTCCAGCGAGCCAGGGCTGCAGCACCGAGATGCAGCACCACTCCAGAAACACTCGCCTGCAGGCATTTGGAAAGACATCTTAGCAACTAAAAACTATGGAGATATTAAAGGTAGGATTATTAGTTTGGCAGGTAGCAAATCATGTTTCGAACAATGTGTTTTGTTTACTGCGTCTCGGTATGCCCTGAGAATTGCACACACTTTTAGCCTGAATGAATGGCAAGTGCTGGAATAATTGCTTTACACTGCTCTCCGGGGTGTCTGAGCGCAGGATATTAAGCTGCGGGGCTCATTGGAGTATGACACACAATGCATCCACTGTTTCTACCAAATCTTTCTGCCTCCGTCTCTCTCTCTCTTTCTCTCTCTCTCTCTCTCTCTCTCTCTCTGTGTCCTTCCTCTCTCCTCTACATTGAACATCAGACAAGTTGGAAAGCACAGCAGTGGATGCCTGTAAGGTATTTGCACCTGCGGATTCTCTGCCACATCAAATACCCAAAACCAACAGATGAGAAACAGGTTACAGGGCAGATACATCGTGTGCCGTGCAAGACATCTTCAAAATATCTGTTTAATACTCCTCTGTGGTGAGAAAATGTCCATGTCAAAGGTCAGCCCGCCTTAAGGTCCAGCAGTGATATTTCAGGCCCATTAGTTGGTGGAACCAGTGGGCCTGATCACTGTGTTTGAACTGAAATGCCAGGTTAGACTGAAACTCTCTCCTAATGAGCGATAGCCACTCTTCATGCTCTTATGAATCGAGTGACCTTTACCAAAGAAGGATTGCTCTTCACCGACAGCAATTACCTCCTCCTCAGAGGAAAACTTGAAGAAAGTTTATTTTTAGATGTAGTGATAAGTGGTTTTGGTTCACACTTTCTATAGAAAGAAAAAGTTCTGTGTTTGGACATGGATTTGAAACATTTATGTCTGGCAGCCAATGTAATCAATTTGTGGTCATTGACTTGTAAGCACAGTCCACAATTGCCCACTGCAATTAAAAGTGAAGTTATAATGATATGGGAAAATGACAGTAGACAAACATTCCTTCTCTCTCAGTGTAATGTTAGGTTGTCTAAACCAGTGGCTCCCAAAGTGGGGGTCACGGGCTGAAAGGTTTGGGAACCCCTGTTCTAAACTACGGATATGTTGTGCTTCTTTGTTACCGTTTGTTTAGTATCTGTAAGGGCATAAGAGAAAGTTTTCACAGGTTTGATTTTCTAATGTTTCAATGAACAATATTTATGTCCACAAAAAAAGAGTCAAAATGAGAAGCTGATGTAGAAATAGAAGCCCTGGCGACTCCGGCGACTTGGGATCCGATGACGACTCTTCCTGGATGGACGGATGACACATGAGGCCGAATATGAGATGAGCTCACCGGACCTGGACCCTGAGTCACTATCAATCTGAATCTGATGATCAGCTGGAGGGGAGAGGGGAGACAGGTGAGGTGCATCGAAGCAGCTCCAAAATGCTAGGAGAGAGAAGCACAGAGAGAAGGTGTTTTCATTTTTGACAGCTACAGCAGGCATAGTTGACGATGTGCTGCAGATCACATGCCAAATCAAAACAGGACTGCTCCGAATAGTTCTTACAATTTACCTTTCTAATCTTTGACTGCTGTTTAAACTGTATTCAGTGGAACTGTTATGTACAAAGGTTTCAATATATGAGTTCAATACACAAGAGTGCGTTCAAAAGATCTTCATCTCACTGGGCTGAAGAAAACATTTCAAAGGCAGCCTCAAGTTTTTTGACTAGAAGCAGAGAAGTTGAGATGATTAAACTGAATGTCCACTCCGAGTAAAATAAACTTTAGAACTGTTTATACATGAATAAAATATAAAATATTCTACTACTAACACAACTTTAATAATCTTTTGACAGTTTTACTTAATGCTGCCTAACAGATTAATATAATATAATACATGTATTACTGCAGACTAAGATTTAAATGGGTCTCTTTTAATGAAACATAATTATGAAGATTTCATCTAAAATGGTTTATTGAATATTTTCTCCACCTCACCCTAAAATACAATCAGGTCGAACTGAACCAACCGCTCTACAGTCATCCATTCGTTTAAAACCTGCCTGCCGTCTTGTATGATATTCACCGTGTTAAACGTCTCAGTTTTTGTTTATCATGCTAACATTTTAACAGTTACCACCAAAGCACCACACCTGGACACGTGGGAGTCAGTTTCACTGTAATCGTTTCATATGTAAAAGATGTCTGGACAAAAGTGTGAGCCGATCCTCAGGTGTACTGTTTAGTAACCAGCAAAGTGTTTGAACGCTCAGGCTGAACTTTGAATTTCTAACTCGATATGTGAGAATACTGAAGTTAGCATGGCGCTCAAACTCAAAGCACAGCCATTATTTTATTTTCAGTAATTAAATATATATATATATTCTTATCCCCAAGCAGCTTGGTTCTTTCCTGTGTAACAATGTAACGAGAATACATCTTGTTATTCTCATGTTTAAGGTTGTGCTCCCTCAAGATTCCTTTTGGGCCCGGGGATCTGATGTCATGGACTTCTCCTGACACCTTTAGAGAAACTAAAAAAAAAGAAGACAGCCTTAAAAACCTGCATCACAACAAATATGTTACAAACTAGCAAAGCAGGCTCTATTACTTCATTCAGGGACAATATTGAAATAAATTCCCTTTCTGCTGTGACATAAGTGATTATTTCCCAAGGGCATTTATCAGTTATTAATCATGACTTCTTTGCTACATACAGAA